GCGCAGGGGTTTGTGCGTTTGTAGGTGGTGGATGTATCAAGCCTTAAAGTGTCTGAACCGTGCCAGCGGGATGGAGGGCACCTGCTTGCCCCCAAGCCCGCGCCGCGAGCTTGCACCGACCGCCCCCCGGCCCTCACCCCAACCGTCACCCCCGCCGCTCGCCCCAGGGGTACGCTCAAGGACGCCGTGTCAGCGGGCGTGTTCCACCGCCGCATGGCGGGCGGGGACGTCGGCGTGGACCTCGCAGCTGTCGTCGACGTGAGCCGCTTTCCTTCGAGCCGCCGCTGCCGCTGGGTCTCGCCCCGCAGCGCGCGCCGCCCGCACCGCCCCGGCCGCTCCTTCGCCGGGCCCCGCCCTCGGCGCCCCTCTCAGCACCCGGCGTCGCACCCCTCACCCCGGACGCACCAACACTCGTCAAAACCAAGCTGAGGGACCGTTGCTTTCCAATCCGTTTGAATTCCCGCCGCGACAGGTGCTGCTGGACGTGGCCCACAGCCTCAGCTACCTCCACCGCATCGGCCTGCTGCACGGGGACGTGAAGCTCGACAATGTGCTGCTCAAAACAGAGCCCGCGCGGCCCCTCGGCGTCGCGCCAAAGGTGGGCCTGCCTGCGGCCGCGCAGACATGCGTGCACACCCTGTCCGCACAGGCCCGCGGTGCCCGCGCGGGCCCGCCTGAATCATCGCGGTATGTTAAAACATGCATAATTAGACAGGGGCCGCTTATCACCTCACCTGATCTCGTTTGCCCTATCTGCTATCTGACGTGGAAATGGACGACGGCGCGAAATTTCTGTTTTTCGCCCCGCCCCGCCCCGCCCCGCGCAGCTGGCGGACTTTGGCCTGACCAAGATCATCCGCGGCGACGACCAGGTGGTCAACCACAGCGGCGCCGGCACCGTCACGCACCTCGCGCCGGAGATGTTCCAGGCCGGCACGCGCGTCACCACCGCCGTCGACGTCTACGCGTTTGGCGTCGCGATGTGGGAGTTTTACACGGGGCGGCGCGCATTCCAAGGGAAGGGCCGAGAGGCGGTCATTGAGGCGGTCTACATGCGCGACGCGCGGCCCCGCTTCCCGTCGGGCGCGCCGCGCGCGTACGCCGAGCTGGCGGCGTCGTGCTGGGCCCCCGGCGCGGCAGAGCGGCCGGCGTTCCCGGAGATCGTGGCGCGGCTGCAGAGGCTGTCGTTCGATCTGCGGGGCGAGGCAGCGGCGGCCGCGACGGCGGCGATGCTGCCGGCTGTGCAGCAGCAGCAGCAGCAGCAGCAACAGCAGCAGCAGCAGCAACAGCAGCAGCAGCAGCAGCTTGCATGGCAGCAGGGGCTGCAGCCTCAGCCCCACCCGCACCCGCAGGCAGCCCTGTGGCGGGACGGGCAGGTGCAGTCGCTGCATCAAGGCGCCGAGCAGCAGCAGCAGCAGCAGCAGCAGCAGCAGCAGCAGCAGCAGGTGGGGGCGGAGGAGCCCTGGCAGATCTTGCGGCAGCTGCAGCAGCAGTAGGAGCGCGCGGCGCCCAGCCGTGGCCGCCGCGGGCGACTGCAGGCGTGATTGTCCTCTTTGGGCGTCCAAATGCGCCCCCCATCCCTGAGGGCTTTGCGCGGGTCCGTTGCCCTGCGCAGCGCCGAGCCTCGGAGGCAGCAGCCCGCGAGTGCCACAACCAATCCCATTCGCATGCCGCGTTCAAATCGCGGCGCTCGCGCGTGCTCCTTGCCTACTCTCGCAGCTCTGCCGACAGTCTGCAGCCCTGCACCAAGCGCAAGCCGCCATTAATTGCGGGCAAGCTTTGCCTTGGCTCCCTCCCTTGACGTGCCCTTGACCGAGACGCCTGCGCCACCAGCAAGCACCTGCCTGGGCCGGCGGCGCAGCAAACGCAGCAGAATTCCGCACCGGCCGCCGCGCTCGCGCGAGCCTCACACTTTGGGTTTCCGACTCTGGGGCGACCGCGGTGGCGCCGCCTTTCCCGCTTTTCTCGCGGAGCGTCCCGCGGCACGGCGGAGCCTTGCGGCGCACGCCTGCGCGCGCGTCGCAACGCCTGACCTGCGCCCTCTACGCTTTTTTATCTCCGACAAGAGGCGCTTCTTGACAGGTACCACCCGCCTCGGCCGGCGCCTCACGCCCACAGGGCGCTGCGCGTGTGCGCTTCGTAGGCCTGCCTGTTCAACCTCGTACGCGGCCCCCGGCCCCACGCTTTTTGCCGCGGCGAGGGCTCGAGCCCTATCCGCTTTCGGGCGCGAAAGCGGGAGGGGCCGGCTGCGGGCGCCCAGCCCTGTACTTGGCTGCATTTGAATTTTCCCACTGGGGCCGTCGTCTCCGCCGCCGGCCTCGCGACCACGCGTCCCCTGCGCGGGGTCGGAGACGCCTTCCAACCGCACCGGCGTGCGGCCAGCCCTGCGCGCCCGCCTCCTACCCCCCTCTGTGCCCCGCCGGGGCCGCGCGCGGCGCCCCGCTCTGGCTTGATCTCTGTATTGCGCCGCAGGATTGGCCCCGCCCGCTCTTCCCGGAGCGGTGCATCTGGGCCGTGCCCCAGATTGTCTTCACCGTGCCTGTTTTCACACTCCCTTTGCAGTCCAAAAGGCCTGCTGCCGAGCGGGGTCGCGCGAGCGCTTCGTTGGCAGCGCCTTGGGCGTGGCGTGGCGCCCGCTCCCCGACGCCGCGCCGCGCCCAGGCTGCCCCCGGCCCCTCTTCCCGGTTGCGACTTCGCTTTCGCCTGCTGTTGGGCGCCCCGCCGCCCCCCATTGTTACTATGGGCCGCAGTTGCTTGCACCTCTGGACTTTTTTGCACGCCCGGCGCCGCGCCGGCGCCCCCGGCCCGGCGCGGCCCGGCGCTCCTTGCTCGCTTCGAGAGCCACCCCCATTTCTGCACTGCGCTTCCTACTCTATACCTGATGCGACAACGCCTAGACATCCAAGATCATGCAAGGGCGGCCCGCCAACGCCGCCAGGCTCTGCGCTTCGTCGGCGACAGGCTCGCCGCCGCCGAGCGCGCCGGCGCCGCGTGGCGCGAGCCGCGGCCGCGGCTGCGGCGGTCGGCCCGGTGGGAGGGCTCCGCGGCGCGCGTTGCGACGGTTTTGCCCTGCTACCAGCCTGCATTTGATTCACGAAACCGATGCTCCAACGTGCGCTGGCGCGGCTGTTGGCGCGTCTCTGTGTGTGGCTGCTTACACGCATTCAGCGGGCTCTGTTTAGGGCGGCCCTGGCGGCGGCGGACACGCACCGCCGCCGCCAGCCGGGCTCGCTTTCGCCCCCTCAACGCTTAAAGGGGGCAGGGTTCAACGCAGGGTGGCGTGGGCCGCTCAATAGCACCGGTGCTCGAAGCACTTGGTTGACTCTTGATGCCGATGACACCCACAATACCAGATGTGGTCATCAAAACCTGATCATCGGATCTGGTGCGGCCGTGTTGTCGGAAGTTTTCAGATTTTGGGGGTCTTGGGTTTCCATTAAGCTGACAGGAGACGCGTGCCGCTGCGAGGCGCAGCGTTGGGCCCAAACGACCCGCGCTGCGCCGCGCTTTTGGGCCAACCAAGAGTTGCAACACCCGGGCCACGGCGCCTCCCAGCTTGCCGCCTCGCGTGGCGCGGCGCCGGGCAGGCGGCGCCCGCCGCTCATCCGAAACGAACCAACTTTTTTTGTGGCGG